GTCTCTGAGATCAATTTGATCCAGCTAAACACGCCACCATCTGTTTTATTCAACCCTAAATCCCTAAAGGGACAACATAGCAAATCAGATAAGAGGTACAGGAGCAGCTGGTTGGTCATGTTGTGATGGGATGAACGGAAGACTGATTTGTAAAGCTTACGGTTACAATAGCTTGAACAATGGAGTGTCTCTTCTGATCAATGTAATACTGATGGTGCCATCAGACGGGGCTGTTCTCGTCTCTGACCAACGAGATGACACTGCAGTCTGCAGAACAATTACGCAACCGTGACTTTGTCAACATCTCACCACTCGGACATTTCCCGTGGCCTCTGGAGAGACAGAAAACAGCTTCAGCTTCACTGACACAGAAAATAATATGTGGGTTACTGTGGCATTCAGATATGCTACTTATTTGCTCAGACAACATATTTCTCCTATACATATATTTCTAGGACCGTCTCCTCATCAGTGACTCTGGTGTAGCTAGATCTGCTCTAATAGCGTGATCAAAGGCAACCATGGGTTAACCTCAAACCACATTCATCCATCTGACATCACGTTCCTCAAGTAACTTGTCATTTAGTGTTGCAACCACAGATGTCAATAAAGAGCAGACTTCCAGAGTGTACATTAGACTAGATTACAGTGCATTAATGCATTTGGTAGACACTCTTATCCAAAGTGCATTCACACACACCACACTAATAACTGTATCGGGATTATAATTCACGACATACAAGAAAAATGACTTGAAGAACATTCTCCAGGTAACATTTAATCTGGCCTGCTTTGAATTTGTGAACAGTTATTTCATATTATGAAATTTACATTTTAAACCTTTTTTTTGCACATGATGTATAGCATAGTTAAATTTACATGCATTCAATAAAATACATTAGTTACAAGACATTTAATTTTTTCCAATTAATCGAAGGAAAAATGAGAGAGGAATCATTTGAGTCAAAATAATCATGATTTACAAAATCAGGAACTCATTGAACTCATGTGCCTCGAAATCCTGAGATGTTGAGGAAAACTTTCAGTTTAAGATATCACATAATTTCGCAGTAAATCAAAGCATTGTATAGGTGGAGAGCAGGGTTATTATATTAAAACCAGAAACACAAGATTTTGCACTTGAAATTAAATAAACATGAACTGAAAATAAAATCTAAAATCTAAAAAAAAAAAAAAAAAAAAAAAAAAAAAAAA